GTGTTTGGGTTGTTGTTTACCCTTATTATTGATATTCATTAATATAGCCTTAAATGTTGAGTTATGGAGTTATGGAGGGGAGATTAGAGAAGAAAGAAAGATGTGTGTGGGGGGGGGCGGGGTGGGGACGTGGGTTTCTCTATTGTTTGGATAACAGGCTTTATGTGCTTATTATGCATCTGTGGCTTGTTTTCCTCTCTCTCACTATCTCGAGCTGGTCTGGGCTGATTCTGCATTCCTCTAGGCTTTTCATGACTGTTTTAGATTTGCTTTAGTGATGCTGGCCCCCTTGCTCTTCTTCCCACTAGACATTCTATCTCTGGGCTCTGGGCATTTTCTCACGCCTGGAATTCTCTCCCACTTCATCTCTCCTTCATGGCTTCCCAGCTAAAAGCCAGGCTACAGCAAAAAGCCTTCGTCAACCCCCCCTCACCACTAGTGCCTTCCTTCCCTCTGCTGATTCTCTCCAATTTAGCCGGTACTCATCGTGTTTGTAAGTAGTTGGTCACATCTTGCTTCTCTCATTAGACTGAACTCGGTGAGAGCTGGGACTGTCTCCTTCCCATCTTTGAATCTCCAGTGCCTTGCACTTAGTAGGTGTTTAATAAATATTTGTTGACATGATTTAACTTGAGAATCTCATGTCTCAGGATCGAAGAGAGACCCTATTTGCCTCCATGTTTTTTATCTAATCTATATATCAATATTTATACATCTATAGATATACAGTGGGGGTAGGGGGTACCAGACTTATATACATACATACACACACACACACATATATATATATATATATATACACACATATATACAAACATAAAGATTGTAACTATCTCTACTCATAAGGAACTTACATTCTGGTAGACTGGTCCTCAGAGGCTACTAGTCCAACTTCCCTCATTTTATAATCTAAGGCAAGGGAGGCCTAAGAAAATTAAATGACTTTTTAAAAGTGAAATATATATGTGTGTATATATATATATATATATATATATATATATATATAAAATACATGTCAACAAGATTTGAACCCCAGATCTCAGACTCCAGTCTGCCATGCTAATTGGCACATGGTAAATGCATGCTTGCCTATTGATTATTCTTCTGTCACTTTTCCTTGGCATAGCTTTTTTTTTTTTTTAGACATTAGATTTCTATCCAAAGTTCACAACTTGAATGCAGGTCTTCTTGATTAAGACCAGCTCTCTATCCATTAGTCTCTCATTTATAATGATATTCCCCTTATTTAAAATAAAAAGCTGGTATAATTACAGCAAATACTTTAGAGGGTCCATCTGCTTTATAACTCTGTTTATAGACCTCCCTCAGTCCTGTTCATGGGAACATAGATTTAGAAGTAGAAGGTACTTTAGAAACCATCAAGTCCAAACCTTTCATTTTACATATGAACAAATTGAGGCACGGAGAGGCTGGGTGACTTGCCTCAGGTCACACAGATAGGTAGTGAGGTCACAAAGTGGCTGGTGATGTGGAGGAGGAGTCCAGAAAGTGAGTTGAGGTCTCAATGAAGTAACACCCGGGCAGGGGGCTTCCTTAAATGGTGCTCTTAGAAATGGACAGTGGAGATGGATTGTGTTGGACATTTCAGCACTAGGACTGCTGAGGCTATGAGCTTCCTTGGGGGTCAGTATAGCCTGTTATACTTGTTCAGTTGTCGCTAGATGGTGGTGGCCATCAGGGTCTGTATTTGGGTGGTAGCATCAGAAATAGAAAGGGGGAGGGGTATGGATGCTAGCAGTATGATCAATATTGTAGAGATGAACCTTCTGAAAGATTCACCAACTTTGACCAACCCAATGATTGATCACAACTCCAGAGGCCATTATTAATTCAATGGTGAAGAAGGCTGCCTGCCTCCTGACAGATTGCAGATGGGCTAATATGCAGCATGAGATACAATTTTTCAACATGGCCAATGTGGGAATTTGTTTTGCTTTACTATGCTTATTTGCTATAAGGGATTTTTCCTTTTCTTTTTTTCCGGTGGGTAGTAGGAGGGAGAAAAAAAATGCTTGATAAATAGAAAAAAAATAAATTTAATTATAAAAATAAAAGAATAGTGCAGAAAAAGACTTCTTAAAGATATATGACAGAGAGAGACAGAGAGACAGAGACAGAGAGACAGAGAGAGGCAGAAACAGAGATAGAGAGAGAGTTGGAGAGAGACAGAGAGAGATGGAGAGAGGCAGAGAAAGACAGAGATAAAGAGAGAGAGACAGAGACAGGATAGGCAGGCAGACAGACACAGACAAATAGAGACTGCTGGATGCTTCAGGGGGTAGAGTCAGTCAGAAAGGTCTTGAAAGCTGGTGTTCTCTAGGGAAGGACTGGATGGACAGGGGAGGAAAAAGCAAGAATCCAGGATAACCCTGAGCTTTCAAGCCCAGGAGACTGGGAGCCACCAGTAGAAATGGTGAAGGAAGCCAGAAGGAGCAGCAGATTTCAGGGAAAGATAATCAACTCCAGCAATCCAGAATATAATTACTAGTGGTCTTTGCCAGCTGTGTTTATAAATGATCAGCATCCAGTGGCTGGAGGTGCAAACAAGTGCATCTTTTCAAGAATATAACCCACGATGGGGGAGGCAACATGAGCCCAAATGGTATTGGTGTCTTGGCCAGCTTAGCCTTGACTTATTTGTTCCATTTGTGATTTTTATTGCCTTTATTCATTCATTCATTCATTTATTTATTTTGGTGGAGAGAGGCAGCAAACTTGGAGAGTTCAGTGGACTAGGGCTCAGATCATGTGGTGGGAAGGGCACTCTGCTCCTTAGTGGGGCATTCTTGGGCAGGCCTCTCACCTCCTTTGGATCTCAAGGTCCTTGTGGGTGGCATGAGGGCATTGATTAGATCCATAAAGGATTTTCTAGTTTGAAGTTATGGAGTCTTATTCAGGTTTTCAATCCTGTATCTCCTTCTCAAGTTACTTGGTTAAGTTAGTTGGCTTCTTGGAGCATGAGGGTTATGGGAATAGCAGTGGAAAGAGCCCTAATTTTTGAGCCACAGGCCCTGGATTTGAATCCTACCTAATACACTTGAATACCCTTCTGACTTTAGAGAAGTCATTGGACTACTCTGGGTTTCCATTCTTTATTGGTAAAATGAGGTTGGTAGGGCTTTCCGAGATTCCTTCTAACTCCAGAATCTTTTATGACCTTGGGAGATATCCTCAGGAGAAGGTCTCAAATGATATAAAGCACTACATAAACGCTATTACTATTAGTGATCTAACATGGTTGGTTTGTGTATTCAATGGGCTGGCCCATTTTGCTCTTGAATAAGTTAGGATATGATCATTTTTATGCAAGTAGTTTCAGATTAATTCTTTCTCACTGTTCTCAGGCTTAATAGATGAATTATAGAATCATATTTCATGACAATATCATCCTCATTCCTACAATGGCCTTCTATGAGATTAACCCTGGTGAGGAAGGTGGCTATTTAAGATTCTTAATTAAGAATCTAGATTTTTGCAGTCCATCCCCTTTCATTTTAGTTTCCTGTTTGATTTTCCCTGGTGTTGTACCAAGTTGCCTTTTAGACCTTTGGGCCTCTGGTCTTAGGGGTAAGATATTGGGTCATCTGGTATTAGATCAGAGAGGTGTAGTGGGAAAGAGACCTGGATTTGGGGTCACAGCACATGAGCTCAAGCCCCAACTCTTCCACTTGTACCTATGCAACTTAGTACTTACCCAACTTTGGGCAAATCACTTGACCTTTCTGGGCCTCTGCTTTCATGTCCTTAAAACAGAGGGGATTGAAATAGATGACTTCTGAAGTCCCTTGAAAGAAAGATAGATAGATGGATGGATGGATGGATAGCTAGATAGAAAGATAGATAGATTGATGGATAGATGGATGGATGGATAGATAGCTAACTAGACAGCAAGATGGATGAATAGCTAGATAGAAAGACAGATTGATGGTTGGTTGGATAGATAGATAAATAGATAGATAACACACTTATTAGGTACTTTCTACGTGCCAAACATTATGCTAACCTCTGGGGTTACAATTAAAAGTAAAAGAGACAATTCTGTCTTCAAGTTTGCATTCTAATGAGTCAGTCAGTCAAAAAACATTTACTAAGTACCTACTAGGTACCAGGCACCCTGCTAAGTGCTTGGGGATGCAAAGAAAGACAAAAACAGTCCCTGCTCTCAAAGAACTTACAGTTTAGTGGAGGAGACGATAAGCAAACAATTATATAACCCTATTAACCCTTGTATAACAAGATACACACGGGATAAATTGGGAATAATCAAAATAGGGAAGTGGGAAAGGAGAAAGACAACACAGAGAGAGGAGCTGGAAAGGGTCCGAGGGTTACACCAAATATGGCTGGAGATGTCCTAGAATTTCCAGAGAGGCCCAGAACAGAACAAAGAAGTCCAAAGAGGGCCAATCAAAGCCAGGGTGGTTCAGGGACCAAGTTCTGTTTTCTGGTGGGGAGGGGGGAGGGGATGATGGCTTGACTGGAATGGAGACAGTACGGCTGGAGAGGTCTTTTCCAGATTTTGATCCTATGGCTATGCTTTCCTGGGTTCTATGAGATGGCTGTTCCATTCAGATGCATCTTGTGACCCTTTAGGCATGAATAAAGAGATTGAGCATGCTTGGCAACAGGGATGAAGCCTAGGATTAGCCTAAGAATGGCTAATGTAAAATGACAACTTACGAGATGAAATCACTGAAGTTGGTTGTGTTATCTTAGATCTAGTCCAACTCCCACATTTTACAGATAAGGAAACTGAGGCCCAGGGTCTCAGAGGTAGGTGGCAGAAGCAAAATCAGAATCCAGGTCCTCTGGCCCCAAACCCATCACTTTCTCCACTGCACCAGCTGCCTCTTGAGAATCAACCTTGTGATGTTCCTTAAATTCCAGCTCCTGGAATGATTTTGTCTTTTGGTCTTCATCAAAAGAAAAGAACTGTTCTCTCTGTCTCTCACCTGTTGTGTCTCTCTGTCTCTCCTTAGGCTGTAGCTACGAAGGACATACTTACAACAGCTCCCTAAAATGGCAGGTCCCCGGCAACCCCTGCATCCTTCACCAGTGCCAGGTAAGGAGCCCAGCTTGAATTTTTAGTCCCTTCCAAAGGAGTTCTTTCGACTCTTTTCAACCACTCCCTTCATGTAAAAGGAACCTACAGTCTTGCATCTCTTTATTGCAACATTTATCAGGATGTTGAAGGTCCTCAAGACAAGTAGGTCTTAGAAACACACAGCTGAATTGTTCGACTTCATGGAATGTTGTTGGGGGAAAAACTCCATAAGATGCATAAGACCTTGGGGAAAATGCAAGTCTTCCTGTGAAGTCAGCATTAGGAAAGACATGAATTCCCATAAGCAGAAAAGAGTTTTTGTTTAAGTGTATATGTTTTCTTTCTTTGATTTAGGATCATTCTGAAAGTCAGCCAATCTGCAAATTGTATTAAATCTAAGCAATTAGTATTCAGGAACCTCCATGATGTCAACCTGCTAGGCTCAGAAACAATCCACTTCAGCCCCAAACTGTTGCAGGGAGACCAAGCATAGCTAAACTGGGGAAGCAGAGATCATACCCCACGTTGGTGAAGTGCTCCAGGCTGTGAGTGTTGCAGAGCTATGCTGAGGGTGATGAAGGGAAATTTTTTTTTAATCTTCATTGAAATGGCCCCCTAAAAATGCCCAGAAAACTCTTCTCTGTATAGGAAAAAGGGCTCTCCTTCCTTTTGAGTGCCGTTATGATCTTAGGGAAAGGAATCTTAGAAGATAAGCTAGTCTAACCTCTTCATTAGGCAAATAAGGAAACTGAGGGAAAGAGAGATGCCATGAATTGTCTATGGTCAGCCTCCTAGTCAGTGTCTAAGGCAGAGTTTGGAATGAGATCCCCTGATTCCACAGCCAAGGATCTACCTCCTTTAGCCTGAGATCGGCAGATTATCTAGAGGATAATCTCTGTGCTCATTGAACACAGTGATATTTGGTGACAGAAAATTTGGATTTAAAGTAGTCCATCCTTGGGAACAAATCACTACATTTGTTAATGATGAGGATGATGATGATGATGATGATGACAATAAAGTAGACTTTTACATGGCTCTTGAAGGTTTGCCAAGAACTTTCCACACGGCATTTCAGGGGCTCTTTTTGGTGCCCAACCTCTCTAGGAGGTGCTATCATTATTATCCTTATTTTCTAAAAAAAAAAGGTTTTATTGCTGTGCTTTGTTTTTACATTATAAATGTGTACGGATGACGCCCACTTCCTGAGAGGTCTCTTGTAACAAAGGAAAACCGTTAAGTAAAACTAATAATACAGTGAGCTCATCTGAAAGTACTTGGCGACATTTCACCTCTGTAGCCCCAGCCCCTACCTCTCTATTAAATAAAAAAAATGAAGAGAAAAGGATTTTCTCGGTCTCTTGCCTCCCACCACATTGGAAAAAAAGACAGAAAAAACCAAATTTCTCGTAATAAGCATGCATGTCAAGCAAAAACAAATTCCTTCAATATATACATATAGACATTTGTATTTGTATATACACAAGTATATAGAGCCTGATAAAATGGCAGGCTGATTGAGTGTTGTTTAGGGGATGGGGGAGAAGGAGGAGAAAAGCTGGGGCCCACTGCAGGATGCCCAAGGCCAGCTGGAGGCAATGGCCCCAGAGAGGAGAGGAGGGCAGGAGAAGGAGGGATGATGTGGGGTGCTGAAGACAGATTTGGCTATTTGTATAAGGCTCCATTCATCCAAACCTATTCAGCATCACCTTTAACAACACTTTAGTACAGATTGTAGATTAAAAAAAGAAAAACAAAGACCTTTCTTTCTTCAAATCTTTTCTCAGATTTTCTCCTCTCTTGTCTCAGTTTCCCTCCTGTCCTATTTCTTCTTCCTTCTCTGCTCTCCCCTTTGGCCTCCCTCCCTTCCTCTTTTTCTCCTCTTCTCTTCTCTCCTCCCCCTTTCCTTAGTCAACTAGCATTTATTAAACACTTGTGAAGTTCCAGACAACACTAGGGATACAATGAAAGGCAAACACAAGGATCGACCCTCTCAAGGGGCTCAGATTCTAACAGAGGAGATGGCTCTCTAATAGTTGTACGTGCAAGCTCTCCACGGTGTACATCTGAGGGAAGACGTGAGCAGTGTGTGTTGGGAGGCTGTGGGGGAAGACTGGGCGAGGACTTTGGTGGAAGGGTGGCTTTGAGCCAGGAGGCTGAGGAGGAGGGAGAGCACCCCACGACTGAGGCACACTTAGTGGCAAGGCCCAGAGTCAGGGAGCGTTGGGATGGAGAGCCACTGAAATTGGTGGTGCGGGTGAGTGATGCGGCCAGACCTCCATTTTGGCATCGGACTAGAGCGGGGAGAGACCAGCCGAGAGGCTATTGCAGTTCTCCAGATGTGAGGTCATGAGGGCCTGAAACACAACAGTAACAGTGTCGTCAGAGGAGAAAAGGGGACATATGCAAGAGACACGAAGATGGAAATGACAAGCCTTGGAAACAGATTGGATATGTGAGGTTAGTGGAGTGAGGCTGCCAGCCTGGGTGACCATGACAGTGGTGGTGTCCTAGATAGTAGGGGAGGGTTTCAGGGAAAAAATGAGTTCTGTTTGGGACACGCTGAGCTTGAGATGCCCCCTCCCTTTTTCCTTTCCTCCCCTCTTGCTTCCCTTCCTTTTTTCCCCTTCCATCCGATTTCCTTTCCCCCTTCTCTTCTGTTCTTTTATCCCTCTGGTCTCCCTTCTGTTCCCCATCTCTCTCCCCCTTCCCTCCTCCCCCTCCTCATTTCCTCATCCCATTATCTTATCCCTCTTTGTTCCTTTCCTCTCCTTTCCACATGGTGATGGAGACCACAACCCCCCCAAACCTCGAACACACCCCCTTGAAGGATTATAGCTAACAGTGGGAAGCAAAGAAATATTCTGTGGCTTGGCCCCCATTGGGGAAATCATTAGATCAGAGGCATCAGGCCTTTCATGTCCCCAACGCTTTTCCTCTCAGGGAAGAGGAGGGCAAGGTAACCTTCTATGCCTGATGTTTCTGTTTCCGCTGAAGCTGGTTGCCAGACTCTTGCCCATTTCCTGCCAGCTGAGCTAGGTAAGCCCTGCTAGTCCTGGGGGGTGGGGGGGTGGGGAGGCCTCCTCACCTGAGACATCGACAGGCCCAGCTGAAGACAGCTAGAAGCTTCCTCAGGGATGCTTCTGAGTCCTCCAAAGGGGGAAAACAAATTTCCTGCTGCACAGCCTTGAGCAAAAGTCTCCGTGTTCCATATTTTTTCACCCTGAATTTGTTACAGATAGTCTAACTATATTCCTTTTACATAACCTCACTGAAAGTCAACCTCCTTCTTGAAATCAAGATTGTCCATTTTCAGGATATCAAATGCTGAAATGAGGTCATGTTTGCAAAGTCCTTTACAAACCAATGTGAGCTCTTGTTATTATCACATGGCTAATTATGGTTAATTAATTGGTTAATTAAGTATGTTTTTAATTATGATTAATGTGATTAATTCCAATTCCCTTTGAAAGTTGTCAGTTGCTAGTATTTGGGCCAGGGGAGAGCGCTTCTTACTATCCCAGAGATCATGAATGCCATCACTTCCTTCCTTGGTGGTAGAAACCTCAGGTTTCTGTGGTCTGGAGAATATTTAGAACTCAATTTACAACTTCACTTGATTGAAGTTTAAAGGTCACTTAAGAGGCCATTAAGAAGGGAACACCCACAGGGGGCAGGTAGGTGGCACAGTGGATTGAGCAACGGCCTTGAAGTCAGGATGACCTGAGTTCAAATCCGGCCTCAGACCAAACACTTGATGCTTACTAGCTGTGTGACCCTGGGCAAGTCACTTAACCCCGATTGCCAAAAAAAAAAAAAAAAAAAAAGGAGGGAACACAGACTAGTAGGACAGTTTTGAAAGTAACATGTAGACTTTATTACCTATTTTAAAAAAGCAAGTGGTATGACATGAAAATTCACAGTTTTAGATTTTCTTTTTGCCTTTTACTTGTGTGTATGGAAATATTCTCTTTTCAGTATTTAATTTCAGAATAAAACTATTTTTTAAAAGAAAATACTGTGGGTGGAGGTGGCTCAAGAATTCCTTTCCCTCTTCTCTTCCCATTTCCTCTGAAAATTGGAAGATCTTAGTGGGGGAGAGGGAGAAGATTTTGGAAGATGACCCTGGCTGCAGGAGCATTTCAATTCATGCTTGATAATCTATGTGGTTGCAGGGGGCCAAATAATGGGTGCATCTGGGTGGGCAGATGTAGAAAATGATCTGGTTCAAATTTGGCCCAAACATATTAAATAGTATTGTTTCATACTTTTCAAAAATGTATTGGTTATCAGTTGATGTATCCGTGGAAAGATAACTGGATTTAGAATCACACAATGTGGCTTCAAATCCTGCCCTATCACTAATCACCTAGGTGGTCTTAGACAAATAATTTTATCTCTCTGGGTCTAAGTTTCCTTGTCTCCAAAGTGAGTGGTTAGAATAGATGACCTGGAATTATAATCAGCTGTTCAGGCCTTGTGCCCCAGTGGAAAGAGAGCCTGGCTTGAAATGCCACCTCCTTATGACTGATGTGGCTTTGGGCAAGTCATTTATTTCCCCAGGTCGCACTTTCCTTATTTGTAAAATGGGTGGGTTGGACTAGATGACCTCTAAAATTCCCTCCAGGTCTAGAGCTATGATTCTGTAATGACACCTGGCATGTAGATAGGAAATGGAAACCAAGAGAGGTCAAACAACTGGCCCTCAGTCAAATAGATGATAATTATATGAGTCAGGAGTCAAACCAGCCCTAGAGCTCCATCCACTGCACTGGAGTTTCTTAAACTTTTTCCACTCGTGACCCCGTCGGTGCTTAAACCAAAGCATTATGGATCTCGACCCACAGTTTCAGAAGCTACATGCCTCTAAAGTTCTTTCTATGTCTAAATCCATGTTACCATGAGCCAATGAGACACACTTCTCCTGGTTTAGAGAGGTGACTTTTTTTTTAAGTTTCATTGATTTCTTTTTCATCAGTCATTTCCAGATATCCCTCCTCCTTCTGTAACATAAGCTTTCCCTTATAACAATGAAAAACAGTCCAGCGAAGCTAGTTGATGATTTAATGGCCTTTTATTTTTCCAAAAACATGGTGACCAGATTATTTCATAACTTTAAAAACAAATGTATGAGCACATGCTTGCAACACCCAGCACCCATCTTCCCCTACCTCTACCAAATGGAGGGAGGGCTATTCCATCACTTCTTGGAGATCATGATTTGGCTTTGCAATTACTCAGATGTTTTTCTTCCTTTTGGTGTTGTTTATAAATATTATTATTATTATGTAATCATAAGAGTGATTCATTTAAAAGGATTTAGCAATGAATTGCTCTTCAGCTAGACTCAGAGGAGAACTGAATTGGGGGAAAGGAATTAGACTTAAGAGCATCACGGTAAATATCACTAAGTCCAAGGAGGGAATTAACGTTGACAGGAATTGGCCAATGGGATCAATTTTCAGGATTTGACCTTGGACTTATGAAGCAATCCCACCCATTGGTAGATGACCCGGGGGAAGGGGACTGGTGTCCTCATTTCTGCAATAGACCCCTTGAAATGACTAATTCCTGCAAGAGCTGAGGTCCTCTTCAGGTAAGAATTTAGCACAAAGGAGAGCTTTGCCAGCATTAGTGACTGGTTCTATCACCCAGCAGCCCAAGATGGCAAATACTCTCCAGGGAGAACTCTGACTTGATTGGGTCGTGGTCCTTTGTTTTTCAGGAAGGAGTCATAACCAAGGCGGAAATGCGCTGTGTGGTTCATTGTAAAAATCCTACCAAGCAGCAAGGGATGTGCTGCCCCACCTGTTCAGGTAATACTCTTGGGAAAGAACAAAGTCAAAGCCATGCCTGGCATGGAGGCACCTCTGGGTCCTCCATCCCCCAGGGCTCCAGGTTACGTATTACTAAACAGTATGAGGACAGTTCTTTTGTCCCAAGTCCTTCAAATCTTACCTGAATGAAAATCTCTTAGCTGTCCTTCCTAACATCACTTCCCAAGCAGTGTGCTGCACTGATGGGTTTTACATTGTTCTAATAGAACCCTAACTGCTTTCTAAGAGAAAACTGGACAAAAGATTAAGCTTCTGGAATATTAATTGTAACAACAGCTAGCATTTATGTACTGCTTTAAAGTTTGGAGGGAAGGAAATAAGCATTTATTAATTACCTACTGTGTACCAGGTGCTTTACAAATTTTATCTCATTTAATCCTTAAAACAACCATGGGAGGTAGATGCTACTTTTAGATATCTACTTTACAATTGAGGAAACTGAGGCAGACAGAGGTTAAGTGACTTCACATAGCTAGTGAATGTCTGAAAACAGAATTGAACTCATCTTTATACAGTGTCTGGCCTGTGGCAGACATTTAATAAATGTTCTATCCACTTCACCCCCTGTATTAAGACTTGGAGCACAGACTTGGAGCACAGCCTCCTTAATCTAATTACTATCATTTATTGCCTATCTCTGCCCTTCACCGGATTGGTGTAGGAAGGTGATTCTCCAGGATATGCTCATATTTTAAGTGGTTATTGTTGTGTTTGAGGAATCAAGATTGTTAACTGAATCTTTAGTTGAGCTCTGTTATTGTTTAGTCCTGTCTGACTCTCTGTGACCCCATTTGGGCTTTTCTCAGCTAAGATACTGGAATGGTTTGCTATTTCCCTCTCCAGCTCATTTTACAGATGAGGAAACTGAGGCAAACAGGGTTAAGTGACTTGCCCACATTCTTCCAGTTAGGAAGTGTCTGAGGACAGATCAGAATTCAGGAAAATGAGTTTTGTCATTGGGGAACTTTGTCTTGGTTTTGAGATTCTATAATTCTAACCTGAAATAGGTTGTGTCAGAGAAATTTTCCAAGGCAGGATGGATTTCTGTTCCTTTGGATTTTTCTCTCTCTCTTAAGCAGAGATGCTCAGAATTACAATGATATAATTAATACACTTATCTCTGTCAGGTTTGTTCCCCAAATTCAAGAGTATTGAATTTTTTTTTCTATCAAACTAGGTTAGGGCAATCTGGGCTTTCTCCCAAGATGTCAAAATCTAGATGGTGATGATAACATTTGAACTACTTCATCAAGTGGAAACAACCTTCTTGATGTCTTTGTTTTGGTTTTGTTTGTTTATTGGGTCTAGACCTATCATTTCATTTGTTTAGGGAGCTTCCCAGTGGAGAAACTCCCTCCATAGATGTAGGTCTGCTCTTCCCCTTCTGAAATTTATAGGCTTAGAGACATGCCAGGGGCACAGAGCAGAAGGTCTATGACTGGTTCAGGGTCCTGTAGGTATCAACCCTGGGCTTTTTGGCTTGAAGCCAGCCCAGCACACTGTGGATTATGTATGCTCTTCTTAGCAGCCAGTTAACACCACTTCTGATGATGGATAGACTCTGAAATCCCAGTACCTGAAAGCCCAGTAATTTTGTAAGGGCTCTGGGAAAGCCACAGTGTGGGCAAGGAACAGAGCAAGGTCTAGCCATGGAGGGGTGCAAAAGCATCATGGCACAGGCAGAGGTAGTGTTGAAAGAGCTGTAGACTTGAGTCAGAATACCTGGATTCAAATCCTACCTTAGTCACTCACTCCTTATTTGACCATTGAATCTCTCTGGACTTTCGTTCCTACTCTGTAAAATGAGGCTTGACTCAAATTGATTCACCTGTGATCTGTGAAATTAAAAAATTATAGTTAAATTAAAATTTTACCAATTTAATTATATTAGATTAAATTAATTATAATTATATAACTATAATAAAATAAAATTAAAAATATATTAAATTAAATAAATTAGAAAAAATAAATTTAAGTTTTAAAATATTTTAATTAATTAAATAAATTTTTATTTAACCATATTTTGTTAACTATATTTCAATATAATTAGTTTCCTTGGTAATCCTCTGTATTTTATTTTATGCATTTAAAAACATTATTCTGAGAAAGGATCCCAGATCCTTTGTCATATGTTATATGTCATAGGTTTCTCCAGATTGCCTCAGGGATCCATGACACAAAAAAGGCAAAGAAGCCTGTGTTGAGATGGTCCCTGAAGTCTCTTCTAGCTAGGTTTATGATCCTATGTCCTAAGGTGTGAATAAGGACGCTCCCAGAGAGTGAGTATGCTTCCTCTTCCCACCAACCTGTCTCCCCATGGTCACCCTCTCAGGGAACCCTTCCTTGGTCTATTCCCCATTTTTCTGCCCTCCCCTCCCCCCACCTCTTTCCAGAAGTAGCCTTTTTTAGTTTCTCCCAGTGGGTGTTTGGGGGCAGGTATCTGGGATCTCACCCACCTGAGGCTCTGTGTCCCAAAGTCTCAGGTCTCTCTCCCAACTTCTCAACTGAGTTTATCTTAAGGAATCACTCTGAGCCATATTCTCTGGTTCCTTCCCCGGCACTGAAATTACTAGCTATGGCTCTGAGAATGCACACCCTAGTGATAAAGAGCCCTGGAGGAGGTTTCTGAGTCCCCCTCTCCCAACTGCAACTTCCTGCACTTCAAGCTTATCAGTCTAATGAACAAGTATCAAACACCCAGCCCTGAAGACTCCCCGAGGCAGACAAACCAGATTAAAATGTAATTGGGAAATATTTAGCTAACTAACTAAAAATAAAATAAAACACAGATAATATTAATATGTGGTTTTCTAACTCAATCTGTAGTCTGCAGTGATGGTAGGTAGAATTCAGTGGCCTCTGTGTCTGTTAGAGTTTGACACCTAATACCTAGAAGACAATCCCTCCATTGGCCCCTGGGTTTGTCCGAAGTGATCCAGGCCTGGGGGTCTGCTTTCCACTCTGGGAGGGCCATTGGTACAAATTAGTTTTGAAGGAATGGTTGTAGCTTTCCCGTGTTTCCACAAATCCCTTAGAACACACACACACACACACACACACACACACACACTCCTGTTTAATATTGCCACAACCAAGGATGGTGATGAGGAGAACAGATGTTTGCTGAAAACAGAGACTTGGGTCTCTAAGTGGATTTAGGGTAAGCTTTCTACTCTTCTTCTGCTGCTGTACAGTGCAACAAGTTGGACCCAGGATATTTCTTAGCCTGGATTGCATTTTAGCTGGCAGGCAGGTCATCTGAAGGTCAGCGGGTTGCCCTAGGCTCTCTCTCTATCCCTCCCCTGCCCCCTCTGGCAGTACTTTAAAAAGTCCCATTAATTTTCTGAAAAGGATTTCCAACATCTCCAGTATCTTTTCCCTGCTTGGGCATACGCCATGGGGTTTGGGAATGACAGTGTCTTCTTGCTACCATGTTCTCCATCTATATTGATCTTCTGCAGGGCAGGGCTCTCTGGGTTCTAGAGGACTTCCTCTTAACCAGAGGAAAGGTCATCTCTTAGCACTGCTTGTAATTGGATTGGGTTCCAAAGAGCTTTGTGTGAGGATAACATGACTTTGCTGGTTTGGAAACGCAAGTCCTTATTCAGTGTGTGTGTGTGTGTGTGTGTGTGTGTGTGTGCGTGCCTGTGTGTGTGTCTCAGCCTTGTACATTTCAAATTTCTCCCATCACATTTTTAAGGGGAGGACATTAAGTCAGGTCTAAAGTACCCTTTTAATTCCCCACATCTCATTCCTTTCCATTTCATAGTATCATAGGATGCTTGTGAAGCCAGGCAGAGAAGAAGAAGTATTAGACTTGAAGTCAGGAAGACTTGAATTCAAATCCTCCCTCAGGTGCACCTTAGCTGTGTGACCTTGGACAACTGTTGGCCTCAGTGTTTCCTCATGAGTAAAATGGGAATGATATTAATAGGACTCATCTCTCAGGGCTGTTGTAAGGATCAAGTCAGATAATGTAGGTAAATCACTTTTCTGGCCTTAAAGAGCTAAATAATTGTCAGCTATTAGGGCTGTAGGGAACCTAGAAATCACCTGCTCTAAGCACCTCATTTCAAGGTTAGGCAACTGAGGCACACAGAACTTGTGTCTTTTGTAAGGTCATACACTTAGTGACAAGGCCAGGATTCAAACCCACATCCTCTCCCTTCAAGTCTCCTCTGAGATTTTTGTCCCCTCCACACTCTCCTCCTCTGCTGAGGACTCAAAAATTGTAATTGTTCCCCTTTCTCCTCAGTTGATTCCCCCAGCCCCAAACCTTTGAGATACTTTGTTCCAATGTAGATTCGTCTGGTTTTATAAAGGAAAGATTCTTTGCCATAGATAAGGAGAAAGTTCTGCTTTCCCCCATTTTTTCTCTCATACTTGACAGTTGCTAGAGCTTACTTTGCCCTCCCTCCAATTACCTTGTATTTATTTTCTATGCAGTGGGGGTTCCATGGGCACTTACAGAAATCATAAGCCTGCCTCTTGTTCTTTTGTTTCTGGGAGAGCCTCCAGGAACCAGGGTTATGTGTGTCTCTTTATTTGATAAATGTATCTGAGTCTGCATGTATCTAATGCATCTCCAACAGAGATGTTGTCTCCCGCGATAGAATGTTAGCTCTTTCACTATAGGGACTGTTTCATTTTTGTCTTTGTATCTCTAGCATCTAGAACTATGCTTGGCTGTATAGTAGGTGCTGAGTAAATGCTTGTCAATTTATTTATTGTCTTATTGATTGTTTAATTGGGGAAGAACAGCAAAGAAAGTGGATGAGGCAAAGATGCATCCTTCAAATCTGGAGGACAGCGTGAGTAGGAGTCACGCCTGGACTAACGTCTTCATTCCCTTTCAGGATGTGTCTTTGAAGGAATTCAGTACCATGACGGGGAAGAGTTTCAGCCTGAAGGGAAAGGATGCACCAAGTGCATGTGTATTGTAAGTACAACCCAGGGTCTTTCGAGGGGTTCCTTCCCAGGCTGTCTACCTGGGAGTGTCCTGCATGGGACTTTTCTGTCTGCTCTGTTCTCATTCCCCAGAATCTTCATGTAGCTTTGTGATTTGGAGGTACTGAGGGTGTGCATGTCAGTGTTGTTGCCATTATAGAGCATCATATCATGATTGTTCTTTCAACCCCAATGTGAAAGGAGTGTTCTTCTCTTAGGGGCCTGAGAAGACGGGCCAGAGTTGGAAGGTACGAATTCTAGGGCCCTGGTGCCTTTTCTTTCCTCTGTAAGGAACCTCAGAGGCCATAAAATCTAACCCCCTCATTTTTAAAGATGGGGAAACTGAGGGCCAGAAAGATGAAGTGATTTGTCATGGGCTTGAGGCAGTTATGCTACAATGATAGGCTGCTACATGGTGCAGAGTATAGAGCACTGGGCTTGAAATCAGGAAGACCTGAGTTCAAATCCTGCTTTAGTCACTAGCTATTTGGCCCTGACCAAGCCACTTACTTTTTTGTACCTCAGTTTCCTCGGTTTTAAAAGTGGCCTCTAAGGTGGTTTCTGGCTCAAAATCTTTCATCTTATGACACTATAGAAGTTAGGGGAAGCTCCAGCTAGAAGTTCAGAGTTCATGACTGGGGACAAGAAGGAAAGAGTCACCACCCCTGATAGACAGAAGAAGCCAGAATTTAGGTACCCATGATTATTGTCATCATCATTGTTAGAACCAAAACTGTAACAAGCAGTTTCTGAATTTCTGTCCCAAGGGATAAAGGGCAATTGCAGGGAGATCTCATGGGGGTGCAGCTGTCGGGGCAGGGGGAGGGAAGGAAACTGGTCCCGGGACAGTACGAGTGTCTGAAGGGGAAGGAAATATAGAGGCTGTCGTACCAACTGTTGTATCCGTGGAGTTGGGGAAGGCAGAGGAGGAACTTCTCCTCCCTGTATGTTACTCTTAGCATTCTTTAAACTTTCAGCCCTGGGCCAAAGCCCTAGTCTCCCCACCTTAGTCCTAATTCTGGTTAGGATAGAGAGACAAAAACCTTGACACAGCTTTGTTTGTTTTTTTTAATTAAAAATTCTTTATAAGCATTTATATAGCCTGTACCCGCCACTGTCTCCTCCCCAAATGAACATGAAAAACAAACAAATAAACCTCATCACAAAGATGAAGAGTTGAGCAAAACAAATCCCCACCTTGGCTATGTTCAAAAATATCTATCTCATTCTTCATTTTAAGTTCATCACCTCCCTGGCAGGAGATGAGCTCATCTTCAGGTTTCTGGATTTGAGGTTTATCATTGCACTGATCAGAGTCTAAAGTCTTTCAAATTATTCTCCATACCATTGTTGTTGCTGTAGAAATTGTTCTCCTGGTTATGCAAACTTCCCTCTGCATCAGTTCCTAGAGGTCTTCCCAGCTTTTTCTGCAGCTGTCCCATTTCATTTGGCACAAAGTATTCCATTGCATTCATACACTCCAATTTGTTTAGCCATCTTCCAATTGTAGGATACCACCTCTGCCCTTAGTTTTCAATTTTTGGCTACCACAAAGAGTGGGCATAAATATTTGTGTGCATGCCAACCTTCTTCCCCTTCCTTTGATCTCTTTGAGAGTTGGTCTGGTAGTGGTATTGTGGGGTCAGAAGGTATGCACAGCTTGGTAACGGTAAGAGTAGAGTTTCAAACCAACCTAGAATGGCTGGACTAATTCACAGCTTTGTCTCAGCCACATCGATTGTTTTCTTCTTTTGTTATCTTTGCCAGTTTGAGGCATGGGAGGTGGAGTTTCAGAGTCGATTTATTTTTTTTCCCAGTATTAGTGATTTGGAGCATTTTCATATGGTTGTTTAAATCTTGTATTTTTTCCTTTGAAACTGCCTGTTCATATCCTTTGGCAATTTTTCTATTGGGGAATGGCTCTTACTCTGACACATCATTGGAGAGTTTTATGGAGGTCTTAACATTAACAATAACAATGACAAAATGGACATAAACCCCAGGCAGCAAGAGAGAAAAATATCAGTTCTTGACAAGCTGTTCAAAATGTCTCTTTAATCCCACCGAGTTACAGTAGTGACTTAGCAAGATCGTATTTTTGAAAAGCTTTTAATCTCTACTAATAAAGAGCAGACTGTCTGAAGAGGACTTGTGCCTTGGTAATGCTGCTTCATATATTAAAGAAAACACATAAGGGGTTTTAAGATCTGAAATTCATCAGGCCTGAATCACATGTGGGTCCTCATAAATCACTGGGGTTGTCAGGACTCTGTCAGACTCTTCTCCACCCACCCCCCACCCCCAGCAGAAAGATCCCAGAATAACATAAACACAGCAGACCAAGGTCAGGTCTTACAGGGAAGGAGAGAGGGTAGAAGGGAGGAGGCAAGAAGTCTGGAAGGCAGGCACTGAGGAAGAAAGGAAGGGAAGGAGGGAGAGAGGGAGAAAAGAAGGGAAGACAGGAGGAAGAAATAAAGGAGGGAAGAAGGAGAGAGGGAAGGAAGAAAGTAATAAAGGGAGGAAGGAAAGGAGGAAGAGAAGAAGAAAGGAAAGAGGGAGAGAAGGAAGGAAGGAGGAAACTAGGGAGGAAGAAAGGAAATAAGGAGGGAAGGAAGAAGGGAAAAAAGGGAGGGAGGGAGGAAGGAGAGGAGGAAGGGGGAAGAAAGAAAGGGAGGAAGGAAGAGAAGAAAGAAGGCAAGGAGGAAGGAAGGTAGGGAGGAAGGGAAGGAAGAAGAGAGGAAGAAAGGAAAGAGGGAGAGAAGGAAGGAAGGAGGAAACCAAGGAAGAAGGGAAAAAAAGGAGGGAGGAAGGAAGAAGAAAAGGAAGGAGGGAAGAAAGAAAGGGAGGAAGGAAGAGAGGAAGGAAGGTGCGGAGGAAGGAAGGGAGGATGAAAGGAAGGTAGGGAGGAAGGAAAGAAGGAGGGGAGAAAGGAAAGGAGAAAGAGAAAGAGGAAAGAAGGGAAGAAGGAAGGGAGAAAGGAAGGGAGGGATGGAAGGAGGGAGGGAAGGAGAGAAGGATGAAAAGGAGAAAAGGAAGAAAAGAGAGTAGTCTAGGACTAAGTGTAGGAAAGATGTTTGTTCATTTACTCATCTAATCAAAAAGCATTTCTCAAGTTCCTACTATTTGTTAAGTTGCATTAAATTCAATGGAACAGTATTTACTAAATGCTTATTATGTACCAGGGTTGTGATAGATGCTGAGAATACACAGACTAAGATGAAAGTCTCTGCCTTCAGGGAGCTTACATTCTACTTAGCTATTCTGTTAACAAACAAAAGTCATTTGGCCCTAAAAGAAATGGGAATAAGCCTGTTCAGGCTCAGATGCACTGATTTTTCTTTGCTTTTCTTCTCTTAGGGAATAAAATTAGGCTGATTCTATCTAATCAGGCAGAAGGCGTTTTATTTAAGCTACTTCCCTTGGCTATATGTTCCAAAGGACAAACAGTCATCTGTGCCATATCAACAGTTGACTTTCCAAATAAAGATCATTTCTCAATCTAATTTACCTGGGGATGGCAGGCTTTTTTTTTCTTTACTGTTAATGCTTGGATTATGTGTCAGAAGTAGCATGATTGCGTGGGCAGGAAGGACTGGATTCAAATCCTGCCTTTCAGACTAACTTTCTTTATGACCCTGGGCAAGTCACTAAATCCAAGGGCCCTTGACAACTAAGATTGAAAGCTATAGGCAGACAGTAATTCATCTAGACATACCTAGGTCATTGCTAGATTTTGAAGACAATTCTTTGCTGTGTCAAGAAAGACCTTGTGTATCATACTTCTCACAGACTTGTAGTGCCCAACATTATTTGTAACCATCAAACCATATTGGGAATGTTTGTAACCAGCATTGTGATATTCTGTAATTGTATTGCTAAAAAGGAATTACTGACCTAATTAATAGACTGTCCCTGAAAAAAAATAAAGCTACAGGCAGACACGTTGCTCAAATGCATCAGTAGAGGATGTTTCTGAGTTGAGATTTCCCTATCAAAAAAGCCCCCAAATTCAGAAGGTGTTGAAGTGAATGAGGAAGTCAGGGGCAGTTGTCAGCTATCCTTGAGACAGTTCTTTGGAATTATGTAATTTTCCATCTAGAAGGAAATGGAGAGCTCATCTACTAACCTCTTGGCTTTACAGTTGTACAAATGATGAAACCAATGATGCTCTGAGCAGTTCAGCGACTCACTGGGGATGAAACAGCCCCCCACCCCAGTTGTCTTTCTATTACACTCTGCAGCCTCAGTCTGGGTAGGGCTTCCAGACTGGAGTCAGATCTGTCTGGATTAAAATCCCACCTCAGACACTTAGGAGCTGTATGACTCTAGGAAAGTGTTACCCAGTCTGAGTCTCAGTTTCCTCAACTGTAAAATGAGAGGGTCAGACTCGATGTCCTCTTAGGTCCCTTTCAGCTCTGCATCTATGATCCTGTGTAGCTAAGATTCCCTTGAGAGTTCTGCACTATAAACTCCTCACAGTCGTCTCACAGGACGATTGGCACATAATCGGCACTTAATATGTGCTTGAATGAGTGAATAAATGCTTCTCTTCCTCTTAGGATCATTGGGGCTTTCCAACCATTGAGTCCAATTCCTCCTTTCCTTTATTTTGTAGATGAGGAAACTGAGGCAGACAGAGGTTAAGTGATTTGTCCAGTGTCACACAGCTAGTAGGTGTCTGAGGCAGAATTTGAATCCAAGCGCTCCATACTCCAAGCCCAGTGGATCTACCAGCTTATATTGCCCATAAAGCTAATCCTGTTGACTTTAATTGAGCGATTTCTTAGCTTCAGCCTTTACTTCAAGGGAAAAGATGGGGAGAAAGTAGAGAGTTCTTGGGAAGAGGGGGAATGAGATCAGGAATACAGTCATTCATTCACCTTCCAAGTTTCCTTTCTCATGCCTTCATATGAACACAACCAGGTTCTTAATTTTCATAAGCACTTTTTTTTCTTTTGATGTAGCACATTTGAAAGGGAGGTTTTGGCAAGC